TCGTCGATCTCTTTGAGCGGATCGAGAGCTTTTTCAAGCGTCTCGAGTGTCATACAGAACTAAAACCATCGAAGGCCATGACGGACATGATGGTAAAATCATGGTGGAAGTGCTCTCTGTCTTGCAATTGTGACAGTGGAGATTAAACTGAGGCGACGGAGTCAGTTCATCACCAGCAATTTTTGGGTCTTGATTATGGTTATTTTTAAGAAAAATTCCTGAAGAAGTTACTTGGAGGAACGACGTCGAGGATGCCTTGAAGAGGCTGGACAAGCTTACTCAGGAAGAGGCGAAGATGGCGACGGCCGAGGTGCTGAAGATTACACGCGGCATGGATAGCAACTGAAGGTGATGGATACAAACTTGATGGTGCTGATTGATGGTGCGGAAACTGTATTTCTCTAGTCATACAGGTCCTGATGATCTATGTCACCAGATGGCAAAGAGGCAAAAGACATCATGCAACAGGAGAAACGTTTGTCATTTTTCAATCTTGCCACTGTTTTGCTTAAGGCTCAGTCATGGACTAGGAAAGCAAACGCGAAGGACCTCCGCAGGTGGTTATCTCCCCCGGATTCCTCAATTAACCACAACATTGCCCGCAAAGCTCACTACAAGGGAAGTGCCAGTTGGTTCTTCCAAGGTGGTATCTTCAACGAGTGGAGGTCGAGTCCTTCACTCTTGTGGATACATGGCAAACGTATGCTTCCTGCACTCCCTTGTTGTCACCTGGATCCATCTCAAATCTTCTTTGCAGCGGGCTCAGGCAAAAGTGTCCTTTGGTTAGTAGCTTCTCTATTGTTATTGAAATGGTTGACTGAAGTTATTATAAGTTCCGGAATAATCGAAGATGTCACGGCACTGCGGGAGACAGGATCGGCATTTTTGGCTTACTTTTATTGCGATTTTCGTGATGAAGAAAAGCAAAGCTGTCGCCACCTCGCCCTCTCTATCCTCCTGCAACTCGCTGCTCAGTCTGATCTATGTTGTGACATACTTTCTTGTCTTCATTTGGCACACGACGATGGTGGACGAAAGCCCAGCGATGGTGCCTTGATACGATGCCTGAAAGAGATGCTCTCACTTCCAACTCATCGCCCCGTTTACCTGATCATTGATGCTCTCGACGAGTGTCCAAACAATTCTGGCCTGCCAACTGCACGAGAGGAGGTCCTTAATTTTGTTCAAGATCTTGTTGGCCTTCATCTTCCAAATGTACATATATGTGTCACGAGTCGCCCTGAGATCGATATACGAACAACCCTTGAATCCTTGACATCCCTTTCCATCTCGCTCCACAATCAAAGTGGTCAAACCAAGGACATCATGGACTACGTCAGTTCTGTCGTTGGTTCAGATAAGATGATGCAGAGATGGCGCGAGGAGGACAGGAATCTCGTAATTAAGAGACTCTCTGAAAGAGCCGCAGGCATGTAAGTATGTCATCGTCGTGTTCTCGATACGTTCTTATGTTATCTTACAGGTTTCGGTGGGTGTATTGTCAACTAGAAATTCTGCGGCAATGTCTCCCACCAAGCGTCAGGTGCATTCTTGATGAATTGCCTGAGACCCTCGACGAAACATACGAACGGGTATTGAAGGACATCAAGAAAGTCAATCGAGAGCATGCGATTCGTCTCCTGCACTGCCTGACAGTCGCCATTCGGCCTCTACGCGTCGACGAGCTTGCGGAGGTTCTTGCTATTGACTTTGATGCTGCGCGACGAGAGGGGATTCCAAAGCTCAACCCAAATTGGCGCTGGCAGATCAGCACCAGGCGGTGCTATCGACATGCTCTAGTTTGATTACGGTCGTCGATGATGGGAATTCTCAAGTGGTGCAATTCTCACATTTTTCTGTCAAAGAATACCTTACATCGAATCGACTCGCGAACGCAAATGGAGATGTCTCCCGTTATTACATCCTTCCCGAGTCCGCACACACGATCTTGGCGCAGGCCTGCCTGGGTGTTCTACTCCGTTTCGACGAGCATGTTGTCAATTATCATACTGTCAAGAATATCCCCCTCGCCATGTATGCGGCCGGACATTGGGTTGACCATGCGCAGTTCAAGGGCGTCTCATCACGCATACGAGATGCGATGGAGTATTTCTTTGATGCGGACAAACCACATTTTGCAGCATGGCATCGAGTACACAACATTGACACAGGATGGTTCGGACTCAGTCGATGTCGTGGAGGACCCCTTTACTACGCCTCCCTGTGTGGATTCCATGACCTTGCAAAACGCCTCGTTGTTAAACATCCAGAACATGTAAATGCTAGGGGTGGTCGGATGGAGAGTCCGTTGGGGGCGGCATTGGAAGGAGGGCACCTACAGGTTGCGGAGCTGCTATATGAGCATGGCGCAGAAGTCGGCGTTCGGGGCGACTATGAATGGACGTTACTGCATTTGCTATCACTGGGTGGGTTGGGTGGGTCAGTTGATACGGGGCATTGGCTTCTCAATCGCGGTGCAGATGTGAACGCTCAGACTCAGACGGGCATTCGCTGGACCCCACTGCACCTGGCGGTCAGGAACCAGCAGCTCGAAACTGTTCGGACGCTACTCGAGCATCATGCTGATATCCATGCCCAGGGCCCCAGGGGAGAGGTTGCACTGCACCTTGCGGCGTGTCATTACGGGTCCCAATTCCAGGCCAACGTCCTGCAGTTATTACTGGACCACGGTGCCGATGTAAATGCCCGGGATAATGAGGGATCGACCCCACTACACCATTCGTCATTCAGGAACAAAGACGGTCATTCCGGTTCGGGAAAGGGGTCGGTCGAGTGTACACGCCTGCTTCTTGAGCATGGCGCAGATATTGATGCAGAAAACAACAAGGGCGACACCCCATTCATGGTGGCGTTGGGAGCAGAGCATCACGAGATGGCAGAGTTTCTATGGGGCCTTGGCACCATGTTTGTGTGAGGTGATTGTACTGTATTTCGTACTACGGGTTCCTCGGCATGCCATTCGTCTCCTGTAATGCATCACTGTCGCCATTCGGCCTTTAAGCGTCGAAGAGCATGCGGAGGTTTTTGCTATTGACTTTGATGCCGCGCGACGAAAGGGGATTCCAAACAAATTGGCGGTGTGCAGATCAGCACCTGGCGGTGCTATCGACATGATATGATTGCGGTAGGTATTCTCAAGTGGTGCAATTCAATTATCTCATTTCTCTGTCAAAGAATACCTTACATCGGATCGACTCGTGAACACAGAGATGTTCCCCGCTATCACATCCTTCGCGAGTCCGCACACACGATCTTGGCCCAGGCTTGCCTAGGCGCTCTACTCCGTTTCGATGATCATGTTAACGAGGATGCTGCTGAGGACATCCCGCGCGCCAACTATGCGGCCCTAGATTGGGTTGACCATGCGCAGTTCAAGGACGTCTTATCACGCATTCGAGATGCGATGGAGTATTTCTTTGATGCGGACAAACCACATTTTGCAGCATGGCAACGAGTGTACAATGTTGACGGAAAATGGTTTGGGAGATCACTCGGAATTGGCTTACCTCTTGGAGGGTGCGCCGTGCTATCAGAATACAATACCCCTTGCCCCTGTTAGTGTGTTCGATTCTTGACATGGCTTCTGTTCCCTATCCTGACCTCCTGATCACTCTCCTTCTCCCGAGTCTAACGCACCCTCAGATAGTGTGGCCGGTTTCCGAATTCTGTAGGGATTTGCAAACCAGCTTTTGGTTTCGCCTTCCTTCTAGGCTACTATCTCCTTCAACAGGACCAGTCTCAGTCTGCACAACTTTGCACGCACTCAGCAGCATGCGGCCAAGCGGACAGCACCACGAAGGCACAATAGAAAGCGCAAGCGGAGCCAGGATTTGTCCCCATCATTGTTAGGCTCTTTAGATTCCTCGATCTGAAATCTCAAAAAAAGACTCCGGTCAAGAAGGTACTTCCTAATAAAACCGCAAGTCACCGGGTCATCTCCGTCTCCATCTTTGTCCTCGTCTTTATCGTCGTCCTCGGATCCAGATGGTGATGGCGATGACGATGATGCACCAGTCACGCGTCAAGCGTCTTCGTCTGCAATACCGCAACACTCCTACGGAAGCCCGACACTGGCGCCAGTCGCCCTCGCCAATAGTGCACCGGTAATAGGCTGTAGACGCCCGTAGATTTCTATCTCCGGGTCAGTAACTGACATGTTTGCCGACGATCTAGAACTAATTCGACGGGTGCCCTGGCTCTCCAACGTCCGAGTTGCCCTCGAACTCTAAAATCTTCACACTTCCTCCCTATCTTCGCTTATGCTTGGTGTTAAAAGGAGCCTTAGATATGACCAAATCGTGATTGGCCATACTGATCGACTCCCTCGCTTCTGGCGGGAAGTCTTTTCATTGCGCGCGGGTGAGACTGGACAACCGGAATGGAAGACTGAACGAGATGGGCATCATGGGCATTGTAATATTGTAATTGAACTTTACACACAATTGACGTCGAGCTAAAACTTTGTATGACGACAGCGCCAGCCTAAGAAAGTACAGTCAAGAATGCTATACCAGTATTAATTGGAAAGATTCCTATCCTTACGGGGGCTCCTTGCGCGATGGCCCTACGGCAAAGGCTGTCTGAGGAACTCGAGGGCAGGTGTCGGAACCCCGGTGAACGCGGTGTGCGCTGGTAAGCACAACCAAGTACCATCTACCGTACTGTAGATGTAGAATATGAAACGTTGCTAATAACACCGAGACTAGTGGACAGCTCGCCTCGCGGTCTCGTGCTACAGCACTTTTTTCGAACCCACTAAGGTACAGAACCTTATGTAGCACAGGTTTTTATCTGCTTTCTCTTCCTCCGCTAGTCCAATACAATAGACATGATCCTTCCGTCGTTGTATCTGTTTCACTATTGTAGTCTATTTATCGCAGATCTATAGACCGTGTTTTACTCTCTACATGCTCACAACCATCGTATCATTATCTTTCGTGATCCGGTTTACAGATGCATAACCCTATTCAAAAGATGATGGCGCTATAGTGTAGTGGCTATCACAACGGATTCTGACTCCGCGGTGGAACTTTCCGTTAACCCAGGTTCGAACCCTGGTAGCGCCTTCCCATCGTCTCTTGTGTACTTTTTTCCGTTTGACGCACGGACGAACGGGAGTCTAAATGACATGGTGGGCAATAGTAATGTGACTACGTATACTGTAGTTTTGACGCCATCTAAGAACCATTTTGTACCCGTTCAAGTTTCAACGCCCCGGGGTTGTGTCTAAGTCGCTCGGGGCTCCCATCACCTTGTATGCAATACAGTATGTCGCTCATGGCCCGCCATATGTGTGCCCTTCATTAGAACAGAAGCTAAAGCTACGTGCATTTGATACATGGCTTCATCCCCGCCCATTAACAAATGAGAATCCACAAACTTCAATTGAAACTTGAAAGTGGCTACTCAAAGACGGCAGTCAATGGACGTAGCACCAGTTGTTTTTTTTCCAAAGTTCTATGATGTATAATTGGGTTGGTCATGGAATGGTGGGTGCGACATGGCGATGGAGGTTCCGCCGCTGTTGTGAAGGACGATGGAACCAGACTCAGAGAGAGCAATCGTGACCCTGGTTCCTGGCGGCCCGTTCTCAAAGCGTCCATCTTTACCATCTGTCTTGTAGCTTCGCCTCTTCCTTCTCATACTCATCGTCTATTCGGTCTCTTTTTCGATAAGCCAATCCCCCCCCCCCATGGCAGGGTGATCTCGTTCACGTGCTACGTCATCTTCAGTCTCCTCAAGTCCTCAAGCCATACCTGACTGCCGATTGGTTTGATATTAAAAGTTTTTCGAGGGGATGTTAACAAAGGGATCAATTACCTACGGTTTCCTGTGCAACTGAAAGTACGAGCGGTAGGGAAGATTATAAATATCCCCTTAGCGAAAAGAACTCAAATACTAGTACTCCAGCTGGAGACAGAATATGGAAGGCAAAAATACCGGAATGGGGCATACGTCATGGTTGTCCACGTAGCACGACCATCGCACTTGCTCAGTAACCTCCATCAACCTTTGACCATCGGCTTTATACATCAGCCCCATCAGAAGGCATCTAGCCGCTCATTCTCGCATCGTTATCAAAGCCAGCCACAATATTTCTTCCGTGGATCATCGATTCTACCGATTAAAGTTGCACGCCGTTGGGAGCGTCAAAGTTCCATTTCGCCAAACAGAGACCCCGTCGCACGCCTCCATCTTAACATGTCAGAGGCCGCAAAGCCGAGCGAGTCTAACTCGACTCCAGCGAATCTCTCCGAATTCCTCTCGGCGCAGAAATCTGCGTATCTTCAAGCCGTAGGAGAGGGCACGCACATGGATGTATGGACTATTTCGATGGGCAATGAGGCTGGCGGTTAGTTTTTGAATCTTGCTCGCTTCTTCGTTATACCCCGTGTCACTGACTAATTACTCTAACTTACGTTCAGATCTCGACTCGCTAGCGAGTGCCATTGCCTATGCATGGTATAGCACCTGCTATCTTGGGCAACCGACGGTGCCGCTTCTGCAGACGCCCCGCGCGGACCTCTCCCTTCGCCCTGAAAACTTGTATGCCCTCGAGTTCAGCGGGATCGACCCTGCAAGTCTGCTCACGGGGGATGAAATCCCTGCCGACGCACCACCGGCGGGGAAGTATGCCCTATTGGACCATAACGCGCTCACGGGGCGTTTCGCGGCCCACGACGACATGCGTGTAACCGCAATCGTGGACCACCACGAGGATGAAAATCGTCACCCTGAAGCATCGCCACGCATCGTTGAGTCGCCCACCGGCTCATGCTCCTCACTTATTGGACGGTTAATCCAAAAAGAATGGGACGCGGGTATGAGATGTCCGGTGGCGCGGTTGCTGCTCTGTGCCGTCCTGATCGATACCGGCGGATTGAAGGCCGGCGGGAAGGCAGAAGTTACCGACCGAGAAGTTGCGTTGTTCTTGCTTGAGAAAGCGGAGCTCGTGAGCGCGGACGCAGGCACAATTGTGGACGTTCATGACGTGAAGGAGGCCAAGGAACTGACGCGGATTCTGACAACTAGGAAGACGAGCGTTGAATCACTTAGCCTGCGGGATCTTCTTCGAAGGGATTACAAAGAATATCGGTTTGTGCCCTCGTGGACTGCGGAAGGATCTCTTCTTGTAGGACTAGCGAGCGTGCCTAGGAGCATCAAGGCGATCACCGGAGGGAACCAAAAGGGTCGAGAGGAGCTGGCGACAGCCTGTGCAGCATGGATCAACGAGAAAGGGTTGGATATGCTTGGTGTATTGACGAGCTGGAAACACGAGGGGAAGGGAAGCAAAAAGGGAAAGCACCGGAGAGAGACGTTGTGGGTTGTTCGGACGGATAAAGAGTGGAGGACCGATTGTGGAAAGGGCTGGAAGGGAGCGCGGAGCTAGAACTGGAGCGAAAGGAGAGCGTTATGGAAGAGGCGGCGGGACGAGATCTAAAGATGAGACTGTATGAACAGGGCAACGGCCAGGCGACGAGAAAGGCGATCGCGCCACTTGTTAGGGCAATTATTGAGAGAAAAAAATAAACCTTAGTAGTTACGTGTACGTAATTCGATGAATATATGCAGTTTAATGTACGTAACAAAAAGACACAAGATCCCTTCTCCAGCGTCTCTTTTCCCTTCCCGCTTCTGTCTGTCCCTCCCTCTTCTCTCCACCATCATCTTTCCTTACCCCTTTCTTCCCCTTCCCCGTCCTCCTCTCCCCCCATTCTCTCAATGGACCCATCCTCGCCCCTACCAGACGACTCGGCCCCTATTCCTACCGCTCCCTCTGCTGCCGCTCAACAGTCCTCAACACCAAAATTCTCCAATGGACTGTCAGTTTGCGTTTTCCCCTCGTGGTTTATCTAATGCGTCTGCGTGCAGGCATATACGCTCACGTATAACCGTCGTCTGCGCAGAGGTATGTCGTTGTGCTATGTTGCCGTCGTTTTCGTGCTAAAAGCAACCCAGTGCAAGCGCCTTAAATTAAGATGCGACAGGCGCAATCCCTGTGGCTCGTGCGTTAAGCGGGACACCGTTCAACGCTGTCAGTATACCGCTGCTGCTGCGGAGAAGATGTGCGTTCTCACTCCCTCCCACTCCCCCGCTTTTTCCTTCTGGTTCTGATGCGTATCCTTAGCGATGTGCAGTCTCTACACAATAGACTCCAAATAGTCGAGTCTCAGATTGCACAGATCTATGCTGGTGGAATTCGCGTCCCAACAGCGCTTGCTAGTGTCTCCTCGGACAATTTCCCTTTCTCTCACAATGACCGCACTATATTGGCTGTCGGTTGCTCTGGGTCTTCCGTTACCGTCTCCCTTGACGATGTCGCTGCTCTCTGGCTCGAGTATCTCGACCTTCCCCGATCATGTCCAGCTGAAGTGAACACTTCATGCACATCCGCATTTCCATCACCTACCACACCTATGAAGCTTGAGCCCTACTCCTCCGAATTGGCCGTGCACGACGAGCCAGCTTTCACCGACGCGATCCCACCATTTACTATATATTTTCCGTCATCAACATCTCAAGCCGCCGTACCCCCTCTCTAGTTGCCTTGTTGCCCTCCTCCTTCAATACACGGGCGCGCATTGCCATGGCCCTCGAGGAGACGATGAAAATGCACCCGTGCTTCAATATTAAACATTTCCGTAACCGGGCCGAGAGCATGGTTGCTTGGGCTAAGGATGAGGATGGACGAGGCTTGGCTGGGACAAGCGCAAGTAGTTCAAATGCAAAAGCTGATCTTGCGAGGTCCATCTTCTTCCCGACATCTTCCCCTTCCGTGGCCCCGATATCGCGGCCGACACCCACTCTATCATTCTTCGCTTCTGTCGCAGTCGCATATGCCCTAGGCGTATTAGTCTGTAAAGAGAATGAAATAACCAGCGATATCGATGCGCAAAAGGCGAGCACGGGGCCGAAAAATCCTCGTTTGGAGGATAATCGTACCGGTCACCCCCAGAAAGCGCCTGCTTGGAGCAAGTACTCCGCTTCGGGGCTATTTACTTTGTCAAGACAAGCCATGGCCGCATTTGAGTTGGTGCATACGTACGATCTGGATGCAGTGGTCGCATATCTTTTGCAGATCGTCTATCTGCTTCATGATAGCAGGCCACGTGTTGCGCACATTATCTATCCTCTGTTAGGAAAATTAATTCATATCGCTCATATGATGGGCCTTTCCACGGACCCTGACGAGTTTCCTGGCAAGTACAGCCTTTTTGAGGCCGAGCAGCGCAGACGCGTTTGGTGGGATATCTATTATTATGACGTGTAAGTCGTGTTCTTCTCTCGCCTTAGTACCCCGCTTAGAAAATGCCCCAAGATTCATCTCAGATGCGATGGGTCAAGTGCCCTCGATACAGGACGGCACGTACACGACGAAGCTACCTGCCGATGTAGATGAGGAACAATTTGGGCCTTCTTCGACATCTCTGCCTCTTCCCCTTCCTCGTCGGGCGGGCGGTGATCCAACAGAAGTTGGATTTGCTTATTTTATTCAGAAGTGCCGGTTCGTCAAAGAGCATCCCTTTCTATTCCTGGTTGCTAATCTGTTCTCAGCCTTGCGCAGCTTGTCAAGAGCGTCAAAAGGCGATGTCCTCGTGACAATTCCACCGATTCTTCAGAGTCCTCGATTGAACGCGCTGAACAGTTCGAGTCTGAAGTCAAGACTTGGTTGTTGGAGCTCCCCAAGGCGTTTCGCCTTGACATCAACAACACAGAGACTACTGCTTCATCTTCTAGGGTCTCCATCTCCCCGAATCTTCAGGCCCAGCGTTGCGAACTTGCGATCATCGCAAATCAACTCATACTGAAGGTGTTCCTTCCATATTTGAAGAGTTGCACTGGGCCTTCTTCCGATGGGCTTCCACGCCGCGTGGTTTCTAGCGTCATTGATGCGGGTCACACTGTCTTTCAGGCCATGCGCATCCTTCACTCGACTTGGCGGCAAACGCAACCTGCCGCTTTCCTATTTTACTCCCTCGGGCGCACGCTCTTCGACACCGCAGTAATGATGGCCTGTGCGGTAATCGCACACCCATCAAGCGCATCGTCCAGTGTGGCAATCGAC